GTGGCGCCGCACAGCGTCAGGGCGAAGGTCGCTTCTCACGCTGGAGAAACTCGCTGGAAGCAACGGTGGCTCCTGCCATCCTGCATGGGGGCTGACGTACTTCCTAGGGCACAGGGGAGGCAGCAAGGAAGGGCAGATTCAGATTAGATATCAGGAAGATGTTTTTCACTGTGTGGTGGTGAGGCACTGGTGCGGGTTGCCCCGAGAAGCTGTGGCTGCCCCATCCCTGGAGGGGTTCAAGGCCAGGTTGGACAGAGCTCTAAGCAGCTTGGGCTGGTGGGAGGTGTCCCTGCCCAGGGCAGGGGGGCTGGAACTCAACAGTCTTTAAGGTCCCTTCCACGCCGGCTCCCAGGCAGCAGCACTGAGGGTGCTGCGCTCACCTTGCAGATCCGCGGTGCCCTCAACGCAGTCAGGAGCCTCGTCGAGGAAAGCGAGCGGGCTGGAGGGGAGCTGCCCCGGGCTGTCGTGACGCACAGCAGTGGGAATCATGGCCAGGCACTTGCCTGTGCTGCTCAGGCAGAAGGTAACGTGTATGCCAAGCTCCAGCTCCATCCCAGAGAGCAGCCGGGCAGCAGGCACAGGGGTAAATGCAGAGCTGGTTCCTGGGCTGATGCAGCTCCAGACACCCAGCTCTGTCCCCCCTGGAGATAACCAGGGGTGGCCCTTGCCTGAACAGGCACAGCCCAGGCTTCGGACACATCACTCCTGCAGCGCTAATTGGCTGCTTGCGGATTTTTGGCTATTGGATGTGCCTTCTCTTTCATCACGCAGGGATTCCTGCCTACGTCGTGGTGCCCCGGACAGCCCCACGCTGTAAGCAAGTCGCCATCCGCGCCTACGGTGCCACACTGGTGCCCTGTGAGCCCAGCGACAAGGTAAGGCACTGGGGAGATCAGCCAGGGATACAGCCCAGCCACACTGAAAGGTCACGTTCTGCATCTTTCCCTTAGTCCAGAGCCGAGACAGCAGCTCGCGTAGTCCAGGAGACAGGAGGAGTCATGGTGCACCCCAACCAGGAGCCGGCGGTGATCGCGGGGCAAGGTACTATCGCCCTGGAGGTGCTGGAGCAGGTGAGGGAAACGCACAGCCTGGTCCAGGGCTCTGCTCTTCGCAGGCAGGAGCGCAGCAAGAAGTGCCAGAAGCACCCACGTTTCCTTTCTGCACAGGCACCCGAGGTAAACGCAGTGGTGGTTCCCGTCGGAGGCGGAGGAATGATTGCAGGAATAGCGGTTGCCATCAAGGTAGGGAACAGCTCATCCGGGAAGCGATGGCTGCATCTCCCTGTGGGAAGGGCAGAGCTCCCAAAGACAGGCAGTGGCTTTTCTCTTTAGAAACGGAGAGAGACCTCTGGGTGCCTGGGGTCTGCACGGCAGCAGCGTGGCGTACTTGGCCCCCTGCGCACACAGCAACAGCAGAGAGGTACACAGGAGTTTAAACCAAGGGGCTCCTCCTGCTCTCTGCAGGCTTTGAGACCAGATGTGAAAGTGTTCACTGCCGAGCCACGCAATGCAGACGACTGTTACCAGTCCAAGGTAAAAGGGGAACTGACCCCCAACCTTCACCCGCCGGATACCATCGCAGATGCAGTTAAAACCAGCATCGGACCAACCACATGGCCCATCATCAGGGATTTGGTTGATGATGTCCTGACAGTCTCAGAGGAAGAGATCAAGGTAAAACACTCCCCGGCTCCCTTCTCACGGTAGCTGCCAGCAGGCAGCTGCCTCCAGCCATGCTCTGCCCCTCCACTCTCACCCCTCCGCTCTCCCAGGGCAGCGCAAGCCCCTGCACACCACCACAGCTGTGCAACACCCACACTGTCTCCAGCTGGAAAGGGCTGGCGGAAGCTCTGCTCTCCCTTCCCGGAGCGCTGCGGAGAAGTGCACACACAGTGCCCTCGGCAGCCCCAGAGCAGCCTGTACTTGCTGCTGGGATGAGAGCTGCTCAGCGAGCAACGCGGCTGGTGTGGGAAAGGATGAAGCTGCTGATTGAGCCAACAGCGGGTGTGGGAGTGGCGGCTGTGCTCTCGGAACGGTTCCAGGCAGTCTCCCGGGACGTGGAGAACGTTTGCATCGTGCTGTGCGGGGGAAACGTGGACCTGAGCTCCCTGACCTGGCTCACAGACCTCCCTGGGAAAGCGGAATGAGAACGGAGCCGTGTCTCAAGTGGCGGAAACCTCAATCTGAATTTGTACAGTCTGGTTTGCGCACTACTAAAAACAGATGAACAACCCCAAACGTTTGAACGTTTTTGTGGAGGGATGAGGGAAGCTGGTGTTGGTTGCTACAGCACAGAGTCGCTTGGTTGCAAAGCAAAGGGTTAGTACTGGGGGGATGGGGGGGCCTCTGGAAGCAAAGCACTGCCTGTTCTCCCCTCCCCAGCCGCTCTGCTCTGGGACAGGCCTCCAGTGAGCTGCGCTGGCACTCTCCCCAGCTGCTACTTTGCCTTTCTTTCTCAGCGTCAACAATAACTTCCAGCAAGCTCCTGTCCTTGATACAGCAAAATCCCTGCACCCACTACTATTGCATGGCATGAGGGAAAGACACCAGCCCCAGCGGGCCAAGGGGTGCACACAGAAGGGGTGCACACAGCCTCCCCGTTTGGCCTCCTCGGCCAGATACCACCAAGACACAGGCACTTAGATTTTTTTTTTTAAAACATTTTCCATTAAAATAAATAGCTGTAGCTGGTACCTGAGCGGCAGCTGGTGAGACAGCTGCCCCTGTACAGACCCCAGCAGTAATACGTCCAAGACATCAGTGCTGTCCTCGCTGTGCAGGGGCCGAGAACAGCATCCGGAGAGCTAAGGCACAAACTGCATTAGCCATGCCGGAGACTTATTCCATTTCTACCTCCTCCACCAGCAGCGCACTCTCGCTCCTCACCCATGGCACGGGCTCTGGAACATGGGGGTCATAAGTCCATTTAGGATAAACGCGCTTGTAGAGGTTCAGCAGCACCGTATCCTGGGACTTTAGCTGTCCATCAAAGTGGCACTTCATGTGACCATGGGTCCCTAGGCAGAAAGCAGAAGAGGCCATTAGCTGTCTCTCCTGCCCAGGAGGACCACATCCTGCCCAGCATCGCAGAGATAAATACAGAACCAAACCCACCTAATGGCTCCTTGATGTGTCCTCTACGACCCCACTTTGTCCTCAGCTCCACTGGCTTAAACCACATCACATCCTCTGGAGATCAAAACACAAAAGGCAGGTAAGGAACAGGCTTTGCTGCACCAACACAACCGCTCTCTCAGGGGCAGGACTTCTGCTTCCACATGCCCTCTTCCCACCACACAGAGATGGGCTGTACCTCTGTTAAAGAACATGTATCGCACGACAGCTGTCTTGGTAAAGATCTTGAAAGGATGGCCACTGAGCACCAGACGCTTGATGACAATTCTGTCCGGGTCCACGGAAAGCAGAGAACCCGTGGCAATGAGGTCATGCATTCCGGCAAGGCAGAGTCACTAATGCACCACGGCAGCACCACAGAAAGTGCCTCCACCACTTCCTCCCCTACCGCAACCCCTTTCCCCAAATGGTTCCAGGCCCAGAGCAACCCCACAGCAGGGACGAAGGTGCCAATGATACTGGGGATGGAAACGCATTCATCTTCTCAAATGGCATGAAGGGGACAGCTTTTGCAAGTCATACTTTCTGAATAGATGCACTTGTAAGTGGGGTATGGGAACAGCCTGCTAACATTTGTTTCCTAGACGCCACTTCTTCAGCACTTACCAACTTACCGTTACTTCTCTGTTTAAAAAGAAGCACTGAGGCAGGAGGGAAAGTGATGGGAGCGTAAACAGTCACCACCAGGGCAGCATCCGGGCGCAGAAAACGCTCCAGCTTGTGCTTGTCAGCTAGGGCAGAACAGCAATGATCAGGTTCAGGCCAACAGCAGTCCTCGGAGCTCTGGGAAACCCCTTTGAGCCCACTCTTCCCTGGCAAACAGGCTCTGCACTTTAGGAAAACAGGTGACAAACACCCCTCCTCTGCTGGCACAGAGTATCTGGGAATGAAGGTGATCCTCTGAGTTACCAGCTCACTGTGTGGAGCCGGCCACCATCGTGCCTGGACCAGTGAGCCACCTTGCCCAAGCCCTTCCACTCCCTACTATTTAGTGCCTCCCCTGGAAGCCTCAGAGCCTAGAAGTGAGTCTTCAGAAGAGTCCTTCAGCCAGGTTCAGACACCACGGCTAAGACATCACAGGCTTCCTGCCCTAGAAACCCCAGCCCCACCTCCTGGCATACCCGCGCCCACCCCACCAGTCCCTCACAAACCTGAGGTGTGCTGGGAGAACAGGGGGGATGCTCGGAAGCGTCTGAACCCACAGTGAAAGATGAGCTCCTCCTTTGCCCTCACTGGCTCACTGTTGCTCGGATGCCGCCGCACCAGGAAATTCAACACGGACATCTGCAGGAGAGGCAGCACAGTGAGGAGCTGACAGCAGACCGGCAAAAAATGGTGGCCAGAGCAGAAAGCAGCAGGATGTTGCAGCAGGGACAAATGCCCTTGACAATAGCTTCCCTGAGGACTGCTGATCACCAATGCAGACACCTCAGCCAGGTTCAGACACCTAAACACCCCTGGCAGCTTCAGCCCGCTAAGACCAAAGGAAAGGTCCTACTTTGAAACGTGAGCAACATGGGGAAATTTCAGCCCAAACCCACTGCAGTCAGAACATCCCCAACACACACAGCCTGAGGGAATCAGACAAGGAGCTGCACACCTACAAGATATCAGCAGGGCCATACTTAACTCACCTTTTGTTCATGGGGAAGCAGTGAGAACAGGACTAGGGGCTTCCTTTCTATGAAGCTCTCCATCACTGAGACAGGGACGTTGCAGACATGAAGTGTAACGTACCAGCCAACCTGCCATGCAAGGATCACTTGTGAATACTTCTCTCAACAGAAAAGTGTCAGAAGTAACATGTGCCTGGATTAAAGAGGGAATCCAGGAGAACAATATCATCTGAAGTCATGGCTTCATGCTAAGAACCAGCTGGCTGAAAAGATCAACCCAGCCACCTCCCTGACAAGTCTTTCCTACTAGGAATAAGGGAACACAGTAGGGGAAAAGATCAGCATGAGAAAAGAGAGCTACCGAGGCTCCTTCAGTCTCCTCCTTCTCTATTTGCCGGAAGAGGTGCTTTCTGGTTCGGGAGAAGTCCTGGAACTGGAAAATCCTGGCATAATCCCTTGGGAGATTCTCTTTGGGGTCCCATGGAGAAGTCCGGAAGCTCTTGAGCCCCCTGTACTTCTGGAACCTACAGGACAGGTAACAGAAAAAACAAACTACTTCACCATTCGAGGCATGTGGCCAACACCTTCTGTGGTCCACAGGGACTCACAGCTTCAGAGAGGGCAAAGGGAGCACAGCAAATGTTAGCTCTCAGAAAAGATCTTAGTGCACAGAGAACTAGAAACAGCAGCCAATTCCCCAAACAACGTGCCCTTGCATCAGGGCTCTGCCATCCTCCTCCCTCTCCCAGGTCAGGACCCAGCTCTCCCTGCCCAGACCCACCCAGTGCCCTCCAACTAGCGCTTCCCCTGGAAGCCTCAGAGCCTAAGGATGTGTCTTCAGAAGAGTCCTTCAGCCAGGTTCAGACACCACGGCTAAGACATCACAGGCTTCCTCTCCTATCTCACCAAACTAGACAGAAGGGCGCCTTCCAGCTCCTCTCCCAGCAAAGCATCCTGTTTCTTACCGGACTCTGGCAGGTACGTCACGTGGCGTATCCACCTCATCCGGAAACATTTCATCCATTCTCTCCTGTTTGTATCTCTCCAGCATCTGTTCATCTTCCTCCACCTTCTCGTCATACTGGTCGTCCCGCAAGCACTCGGAAACAGTCATGGTCTCACATTCCTCCTCTGCAGGTTCCTCTTCCTCCTCACTGCTTTCCCCCTCCTGAGACAGAGAATAGCACAGAGCCTGTGAGCACATGCACTCTTTTGATGTCCATGCAGCACTGCAAACCCTGCGTGTACTCGCATTGTGAATCATAACCCAATACACCACAGTGCCTCATTTCGGTATCTAACAGGCTAAAGAAGCAACGTGATATGCACAAGAGATTTAACAATGGAAATCCAGGTAAGTCCTGGCTCCGTGTTGTGCCCTTGCATGGAGCTAGCTGGAAGGACAGGATTGTCCTAGGATACGCAGTACCGCCATGGAGATCACCTGCAGTATCAGTTCTTGGAAGTACCTGGGAAACTGCCTCTTCCATCATATCATCATCGATGTCATCATCTTCATCGTCATCTTCCTGACTGCCCTCTTCTTCATCATCCACAATCCAGGCAGCCTGGTACTTGGATGTGCCTTTGGGGACCTTCACCACCTTTCTGTTTGCCTTCAGAGAAGCTGTGGGATTTCCCACCAATAGTTAATACAGGAACAATTCTCCTTTCCCTCAGCAACATTTACACCAGGACAGCCAAGATGAGCTCTAGACCAGAATGGATTTCCCAGCACAGAATTTGTCAGGGCTCAGAAAAGGCAACTAAAATGTAAACCTGCTAACTGCCAGGCAAATCACACAGCCTGCTGGTCAGGTGATGGGACTAGGAATGAAAGGCCTGGCCTCCCAACTAGTGTGTTTCTTCACAGCTATCCTGGAGACAGAGGGTTTCTAATAACCCTCTTAACAGGGAACAAGGAAAAGGTACAGAAGTATTGCTGCAACTCACCCTCTGCTTCTTGCAGTTCTTCTTCAGTAGGCCACGTCTGCTCCCCTTCCATAGGATCAGGAACCACTTCTGACTGCAAAGACTCCTGCTTGTTTGGATCCGCCTTCATCAGGACCTTAACATCTTCCTCCATCTCATCCGTACCATTTACAGAGTCATCCTGAAGAGCAGAGTTCCCAGCTGTAAATACAGCTAACTCAAGCTAGCAATCAGTCTGAAGTGAAACTCCCTTCAGTATCACATTCATTATGCTGTAACGTGACATTTGTTACATGCCACGCGCAAGGAACCTCAGCTCAGTGACAGAACACAGCCCTACTGGCTCTCTTGATAAAACTCCCTTTACCCCCCCATAACCACATACACCCAGTTGTCTTTTCCTGATGAAAGTTTAGAAACATCGTGTTCTAAAAGGACTGGCAAAGCCCTGACCACCCACACACCTGTATCTCCATGTCCTGATTCCTCTTCTGTCCTTTAACCACTTGGGGGTTCAAAGAGAGGGGGTCGGGGGGGGCATCCACCTGGCTCATCTGGAAGTCTCCATGCCCCACAATATGCACCAGGCTGTTCACGTCGAGGGCCTGTCCCCGGACAAAGCCAGACACCTTCAAGGTCCCAACCAGGTCACTCTCCTGACCGGGTACAAACTCAGCAGCATAGGCGAGCAGGTGAGCCCGTCTGTCCCGAAAAGCAAGATGCCGCTGCTTCTGGGTGGCGAGGTGCCTCAGCAGCAGCGAGGACTCCTGCTCCGTGTTCAGGGGGAAGAGCTTGGCCTCTGGAAAGCGCTTCTCAATGGCTTTGGCCAGTTTCTTCCTGCCATCTATCCGCTTCTTAGGTGGCAAGTCAGTGCCCCCTGGGACAGCAAGAGCTACCAAACAGCACACAGAACAGAGCTCAGGATCAGATGGTTAACTTTCTTATACACCTTTTACCAAGCACTAACACAAACTCGGATATCAGCAACCCAAAAAAACAAATAATTGATTCCCACCACAAGTTACAAAGGCAGTTTCACCCACTCAAAAGAACCATTAGGACAGAAAAACCTGTCTTTAGAGGTAAGATTTTGAGACTAAATGAGACTGTGGAGATTGGGACCCAGGAACTGAACTTAGCAGGAAGGCATCTGAATCCCTTCACTCTGCTCGCCTGAATAACTGTTACAATACTAACCACCACGACACACCCAGAGGTCTAATACCCCTTTTATCTCCAGCACTCCCCTACCAGGGTAGTAAGACAGCAACAGAGCATGACAATGGCATCCGGCCAACTGATCTATGCTCAGAAACAGCGCTGTCAAAGACTTGTGATCACCTGTTAACATATCAAGTTTTTAATTACTGCAACAGCAAATCCCCATCAAGCACCCCCTCAACCTACACCCCACTAGAAGCCCATAATGTTTCTCACTCGCTCACCATAACTGGGGAGCCCCTGTGCAAAGAGGCAGGAGAGGCAGTACTCCCCTGCGCTGTCCCAGCCATTGTCAGGATCCAGGATGAACAGGAGAGAGTCAGCAACCTTTGCTAGGTCTAAGACAGCATGAAGGTCCCCTGCACACAAAATATCTCCATTACTGAGCCTGCCAGGGGTACGGAACCAAGAACAACGACAACAATAGCATTTCCTCACCTGCCTGTGCTGTCACGAAGCGCCAGCGCTGCTTGAGTCGGGGGCAGAGGAGCGCAAAGCCACCAGCTCTCCTCTCATCCATGCGGACAACAGCAGACTCCTGGCTTTGCAGCAAGTGGACGGTGTCGTGGGCTGCAGCCCTGCTGTGCAGTGGCACCAGAACCACGAGGTGCGGGGGCCCATCCCTGCTGCCCAAGCTCCGCTTCTCTGCTAGCACCTGTGGACACAACCGCAGAGCATGAACCCCTGCTCCAGCCAGTTCCTATCCCACCCACCAGATCAAAACCGAATGGCCCCACAGCTCAACCTGAACCCACTCGGTCCAGTAACGTTCTGCTTGCCCCAAACTGACTAGACCCAGACACCCATTCCTCTTCCTGGCCCAGCTCCTGTTCCCCCCACAAAGACCCAAAATAGCCCTTCCCCACAGACCCGCACCGGCCCCATTCCCACGTCCCGCTGCCCCCTCGCAAACACCCAAACAGACCCATTTCCCGCGCCCCCTGCAACCGGCCCGGTTCCCCCAGGGCCCTCACCGCCTCCTTGCGCTGCCGGCGGAGCTGCAGCGCCTGGTGCCGCCGGTCCACCCTGCTGAGGTCGCGGATGCGCCGGCGTGGCTGGGCCCCCCCCCCGCCTCACCTTCCCTCCAGCACGGCGCTGAGACGACCCGCTGTGCTTCCCGCCCTTGTGCGCTTTGTTCTGCTGCTTCAGCGGCCCGGGCCGGTGAGCGCCCGCCGCCACCATGCTGCCTCCTCGCTGCCTCCTCAGCGCTTCCGGCGCGTCACTTCCGGCGCCGCGGGGGACGCCGGGAGCGCGCACTACCGCGCTTAAACTAAGATGGCGGCGTGAGGGACGGGGATGGCAGCGCCGCGGCCCTGCCCACCGAGAGGGAGGAGCGGCGGGCCCGGCCCCGCGGAGAGGGCGGGAGAGAAGCGCTGCGGGGCCCGGCGAGCCCCAGGGCCGGTGCAGGGAGGGAGGCTGGTGCCCGTCAGCGTCGGGGCGCGGGGGGAGCAATGACAGGCAGAAGAGACAGCCGTTCCTTCAGCGCTTTATTCATTAGATCTTTGTACAGGTATTTACACAAGAGAAGAAAGCAGCCCGTCCGCGGAGAGAGGGCTCGCCCGCGCTCTGGAAATAGACCTGTGGGAAGAAGGAGTTGAGGAAAGGCCATCCCTGAGCCCCAGGCCTCGGGGCAGGTACGGCCCCCCTCTCCACAAAGACTGATGGAGCAGAAACATTCCTACGCTCCCCGGTCACCTCTGTTCTTGCCAATTATTATCCAGCCCAGAATGTCTGTTCCTGGGTCCACGTCACACCAAACACACCACGAGTGCCTCACAGCTGCAAAACCTGCTCTGCCCGGCGCTGGCAGAGCTCCTGCCCCCAGGACAACACCGGCACTCGGGAAAATCTCTCTGCTTGTTATTGGAAGCATGAGGTCCACAGCACCCCAGAAACACAGGCAGGTGAGCAACAGCATTAAACATTTACAGTGGTGTTGCATTTGCCAGTAAAGCTGCAGTTGGTAACCCAAAGGAGAGGGGCGGCAGCTGCCACTCTTGAAAAAGCAGGTTCCTACAGGACCCGGCTTCCTCTGAACTCGAGGCCTCATCCCCCCTTATTCCTCTTGTGAAGAAATCAGCATGACAGCAGCAACATGGGGTTCTCCACTGTGGGCTGTTCTTTACAGATCTCTTTCTATCCCTAGAAGCAGGCTGGCTGGCTAAACCTTTCAAATGCTAAAAGCAATGTAGAACGCATGTCCTATCTGACAGGAAAGAAGACAAAAATTAAGAGACTGGTGACAGATAAACACTGTTTAAGCAGCAGTAATTAAGTCTCTCTATCTCAGGATCCGCTGGCTGCAGGACAGCATGCGAGTCTCTCCCGTTATCGTTTCCGAAGGCTGTTTGCCCATCAGCCGAGATGGCCCACAGCACTGCCACAGTACTGCCTTGCAGAGCCAAATGTGATGGGGCTGCTCAGAGAGGACTCGGGGGAAGAGGGGATAACTAGGGTACTTCTAAATCAAGAAAAACAACAGTCCTGTGAGTTAGTTATACCTTGTCATTTAAGCAAGACCAGGGAAAGGAGCAAGGTTTGAAACTTTCTGCCTAAGGTTCCTATCACAGAGCCAACTACCTCTGCCCCCATGAGTTGCCCAGGAGTCTGGACACCCAGAGACTGCCAGAAGGGTCCCACCACAGAGGCTGATGTCTCTCAAGATCTCTGCAATCCTCAGAGCTGCCGAGAGCCCCTCTGGCCTATGAAAAGAGCTAACGCACTATGGACCAGGTCCTTCACATGTAAAAGCAAAAATTCCCACAAATCCATATGTTGTAAGCTTACAGCCGTTTCGCTGACCTGTGTGGTTCTGCAGGGCCCTCCGCACAGACTACCAAAAACCATCACAACCTGCCGAGCCGAGCAAGCCGGAGCAGACCGCCAAGCACTACCTTACGGTGGCTGACAGCACTGCGGGTTAAAACAAGCTCTTCCTGCCGAAGTAGAAACTACCAAAGAAATACAGTTACCGCTGCAGCGTGAGTGGGGGAAGTATCCTCCAGCAGTTGGGACGCACATCCCTGCAGCGAGGCAAGCCCTTGTACGGGGATGGCCCCCTTCAGCTCTCCTGTACGATCACAACACACAGCCACCCAGTGCTCTACAGCCACAAAACGCCGTGGCAGCCTGCTCAGCACCACCTGCCAACCCTCCTTCCCCACTCTGCACTCTCTTCTCTGAAAAAACAGGCTTCGCATCGCTCCAGCACACACCCCAGACAAGCTGTGGAACAAGGGATGGAGCTGCTCTGCCACACGCTGGCTAAATCCCAGAAAGCAGCTGCATTGCAGGAAGGCTGAGCTCCTGCTCCCTAAACCCACCTCACTGCTGCCTTCTGAAGCAGCAGAAAGTCTGGGCTGACTCCGCTTTGCACAAGGACAAGGGGGGAGCAACAAGCTGGGGCAGGTTGGATGCAAAGCCGAGGCCTTGGTTTATAAAGGAAGACTGGTTGCAACTGGAAGGGCCAGTTTATTAGAGAAACCTCACATTGCAGAGAATTCACAACACATTGGAAAGGGTCCAGGCCTGCTGAGGGGGCCAGTCTTCTGCGGCAGCACAGATCTACGTCCCCCAGCTCCAACCCCAGCAGGTGCCACAAAGGGGAGGGTTAACTGTAACACAGCTTATGTTTACAAGCAGCCTGAGAGAGCCAGTATTAAAGTTCAAAAAAGCCTCCCCCTTAGACAACAGTTAAAACAAAAATGGTTTAAAATGTTTAAAAGCTCCGTGTTCTTGGCTGCAGCATAATGGGGAGGCAAAGGTCTACAACACACACAGGTCTCTGTGGGTCTCGGCACTCGGTCTGCTCTACCAGTGAAGGCCGGAGGGGGGGGTCTTCTCATCTTTGTTGCTTTCCAGAGAAAAGGGTGGGATTCGGACATCAAAGTGGGAGCCATCAGGCCTCTCAAATCGAAAAGTACCCCTGCAAAATAATGGCAGAGATCACACTGAGGCCAGGGACAAACACAGCTAGGAATCATCAGCAAGAAGGCAAGACATGAGCTCCTCCATATCCTACATGGGGACTCTGCGGCTGCATTTGCAAAACCAGTCCAGCAGCAGTACATCAGTTCAGCAGCAAGGACATCTGCCTGCCAAGATGACTCATCTATTGGAAGACTCCTGAGCAATTTACATCACATCTCTAATATACATTTCCTGAATAAAGATGTCATGATCGGAGCCTCCAGGAGGTAAGTGCACTCCACGCATCTGCGGCAGGGTTTACCTAACTCCCACCCCACAGGAGACAACCATCTGAGCTATTTTTACAAACTGATTACACGTAAATTCAAATTTGTATTTCTTGGCAGAAGCTCCACCGGGTAAGAACGCTGCAACAATATGAAATCCCATCACAGATGTAATTTGGAATAGCTTCTGCTTTGCATTTCAGAAAGGACATTTCAGAACTGAATCTGCCCGTCCTTGTACAAACAAAGAATTTGTTTATTGCCCTGAACTACAGGCGACTGTACTGCAGAACATGACACGGGCAAGAGGATGATGGAGATAAACTAACAAGTTCTCATGAAGGAGAGGACACAATCAAACACCAGAAGCCAAGCTGAGCAGCTTCTGAGCTGCAGAACCTTTGTCTCCTTTTCTTCAGGATGCATGCAGAAAGGGGAAAAACTACTAAACAAGCTGGTTTTACTCCCCAGGGCATGCATTCAGGCAATTCAAAACGCTTAAAATGGCAAACAAGGGTGTATCCTATAGGCAAAGAGCTGCTCTCTTGCTTTTCCCCGACTCAAAGGCAGTTCCAAGGCAGCTTAACTCTGAAACACATTAACTTAAAAAATGCAAGCCAGAGAGACTTGTTGTACAGAAGGCAAGAGGTGGCTGTATATTTCTTGTCCACACAGAGATGATGCTAAATGTACTAACCCAGCTGAAACAGTAACAGAGGGCAACTGCTTTAACCCTGCAGCACAGAATCAGCTTAGCAGCTTGCTACCTGCACTTACAGAAGAGGAGACCTGAACACCACTTAGATTGAAGGCCTTATCTGGCCTAAACTGAGAGTAACCTCACGCGCCAATTCCTTGGACACAGAACTGCACAGCTTCACTCAGGGACAGAATCAAAGTCCAGTCCCCTCCAAAGAGAGAAGATACGGGTCTACACACCCTGCTGCCCAGGGAAACACCAGCATGAAGCCCTGCCTCTTGCGCCAAGGACTGAAAGGGACAGAAACTGAGTACAGGAGAAGGTGACAGAGAAGTACATTGTGTCTTTCCAAGTCCAGTCTAGCACTGACCAGAGAAGGAGGATAAATTAGCCTGGAACCTCTCTTGGTGCAGATAATCAACAGATCTTCTTACCACTAACTGGGATACTGCTATAGAGAAGCTCATAAAAATTTTAACTATCAAATATATCCAGTCCACTCCACTTCCACCCACATTTCAGCCATAACTCCAGACTGCAAGCTGCGTCCCAGCTCAACACTGTGGGGTCCTATATCTAAACCACTACTGCAGTAATAAGTGCTCCTTACCACATGTGACCACTGGATGCCTGCAGGGAGACGTGACTGCTGTACTGAAATGCCGGCTGCTCTTTGGATAAAACTGGCTCCTGAGAAGACAAGAAGAGACCACTCTGCATCAGCAACGGATCTTAACATTTCTCCAGACAGGCATCCACAGGAAACTTATATAGCAAGAAGAAAAACAGAGATCCACATCTGAGCATCACTACCAATTACACAGCAAAAAACCTGCCCAGTGAGTAGTGCCAGAATCGTGTACTATTCCAGTTTTCCCATTGCCAGTCATTTAGCATCATTCTCTAAAACTCAGTGTGAAGTTTCAGTTTGTGCATACTAACAACAGACAAAAAGCTTATGTGATTTTTTTCATTGCCAGCTTCCTATTCCATCTGTTTCTACTGCCCACTTAGCAATTTACTGGCAAATGAATCCAAGAGAGAGGACTCCAGCGAAGGGCTGCACTTCCCAGAAGAAGCCACACGATACCTACCCTTCCTACAACGCCGCGGCCCCTGACCGTTTCCAAGGTGCCAGACAAGCTAAATATCCTCCAGTGCCGTTCTCGGAGTTGTACCACTTCGCTGTCAAGGTTTTCCAGGCGAATACAGTAGCGCCACTGGACAGAAGAAAGACTGTTATCAAGACCTGGAATCAGCTGCAAACAGTTGATAACCCACAGCCG